CAACAAAATTTGTTGATAACATCTCACCCACTCTCTCACATGCTCTCTTTTTACACTGCTTCACCACTCTCTTAACCTCTCTTTTTCTCCCCATATACTCTTCCGTCCTTGCATTTATATGTATTTATAAGTGGAAAAAAGGGTGTTCCACTCCATGGCAATAGCCTGGAACCTAAACTGCCGTATAAGTGGGGCCCTACTGAACCTGCCTGTATATGTATGTATAGTGTGACCTGCTGTATAAGCACGACATACTTGAAATCTTGCATGCTTATGAGACAGAAAAAAAATATGCCAGCAATCCTACAATCATGCAAAACAATTACAGGTTTCAATTTTATGCTCACTTGGCAGGACGGTAGTACGTCCCTTGGTGTTTACTGTCTACCAACCTACTACCTGCCTCATTTAATATTTTTTTTTTTTTAACACATCAGCCATTTCCCACTGAGGCAACACTTTACATGTCCCTCCAAACTGTTAGTATCCGAAACCCCTCCTTTAAATTGCAAGCATTGTGTTTCCCATCTCCAGGACTCAAGTCCAGCTAACCAGTTTCCCTGAATCCCTTCACAAAATATTACCCTGCTCACACTCCAACAGCTCGTCAGGTCCCAAAACCATTTGTCTTCATTCACTCCTATCTAACACCCTCATGCATACTTGCTGGAAGTCCAAGCCCCTCACCCACAAAACCTCCTTTACTCCTTCCCTCCAACCTTTTCGAGGACAACCCCGACCCTGCCTTCCTTACCGTACAGATTTATATGCTCTTCAAGTCATTCTACTTTGTTCCATTTTCTCAGTATGACCAAACCACCTCAACAACCCCTCTTCAGTCCTCTGACTAATACTTTTAGTAACTTCACACCTCTTCCTGATTTCCACACTACGAATTCTCTGCATATATGTACACCACACACAGCCCTTAGACCACATCTAAACTGCCTCTAGCTGCCTCCTTGCTGCAGCATTTACAACCCAAGTTTCACACCCATATAAGAATGTTGGTACCCCTATACTCTCGCACATTCCCTTCTTTTCTTCCATGGATAACGTTTTTTTTTTTTTGTCTCCTCAGATACCTCAACGCACCACTCAAATTTTTTCGTTCATCAATTCTATGGTTAATTAACCTCATCCTTCATAAACCCATTTGCTGACAAGTCAACTCCTAAATATCTGAAAACATTCACTTCTTCCATACTCCCTCCCGCCAATGTGATATCCAAATTTTCTCTATCTAAATCATTTGATACCCTCATCACCTTATTCTTTTCTATGTTCACTTTCAACATTCTATCTTTATGTGTTGTTAGGTTAGACACATATGCAACAGTTAGACAACTTTATTCCGAAACGTTTCGCCTACACAGTAGGCTTCTTCAGTCGAATACAGAAAGTAGGCAGGAACAGTAGAGATGTGAAGACGATGTAATCAGTCCATCACCCTTAAAGTCGTAGAATTTGAGGTTGTCAGTCCCTCAGCCTGGAGAAGTTCAGTTCCATAGTCAGGAACTATCTGAACTATCAGGAACTATCAGATAGTTCCTGACTATGGAACTGAACTTCTCCAGGCTGAGGGACTGACAACCTCAAATTCTACGACTTTAAGGGTGATGGACTGATTACATCGTCTTCACATCTCTACTGTTCCTGCCTACTTTCTGTATTCGACTGAAGAAGCCTACTGTGTAGGCGAAACGTTTCGGAATAAAGTTGTCTAACTGTTGCATATGTTTCTACCTTTACACACCCTCCCAAACTCGTCCACTAACCTTAGCAACTTTTCTTTAGAATCTCCCAAAAGCACAGCATCATCAGCAAAAAGTAACTGTGTCAACTCCCATTTTGTATTTGAATCCCCATAATTTATTCCCACCCCTCTCCCCAGCACCCTAGCATTTACTTCTTTTATAACCCCATTTATAAATATGTTAAACAACCATGGTGACATTACACATCCCTGTCTAAGACCTACTTTTACTGGGAAGTAGTCTCCCTCTCTCCTACACACCCTAACCTGAGCAATGAAAACTTCCCATAAATGCAACGAAAACTCATTTAATATATAATCGTATAAACATGTTATCAGGCTTTTGTATGCATTTGAAAGTGAAAAAAGGCTATGGTTCACTTTACAGCAATTTTCACTTTACAGCTGCTGCATAAGCAGGGCCCTCCTGTACAGCAGTAACCTGGAACCTAACCTGGTGTATAAGCAGGGCTCTCCTCTACAGCAGTAACCCAGAACCTAACCTGCTGTACAAGCAGCACCTGCCTATAATTAATAAAAGATTTCCTAGTAAGTTGAAGAAAGTAGATCTTACACCATTGCTGTTCTTATGAATTATTTATTATTCGTGTGTAAACTATACATATTGTATTCATGGAGAATAACTAAACATTAACCCTTTGACTGTTTCCGACGTATAAATACGTCTTACGAGCCAATGTTTCTGACGTATTTATACGCATAAATTCTAGCAGCTTCAAATCAAGCAGGAGAAAGCTGGTAGGCCCACATGTGAGAGAATGGGTCTCCATGGTCAGTGTGCACCAT